TTGGAAAATAACTAAAATTTATATTCATATAAAACAAAGTGCTCAAGGAAAAAGACACGGTAAAAAAGAATTGAAAAAATTAATAAAGTCAAGTCTTCAGAGGTTTAATATTTTAGATAATGTAATATATAATAGGCAGAAATTGGAAGATATTGCTACTTGCAGCATTTACTGGCCCAAGTTTAAAAACATATCAAAATATTAAAATTTATTATGTCATTATAGAAAAGTTGTAAAAGAAAAACAGGATGATTTTTTTATTGAATTAGAACTATTGGCGTTACGAAATGACAAGATTAAAGTTGACGACTTATTTGATCTCTTAAAATCTAAGAGTAATATCTTTTCTAGGTTTAATAAATTTTATTTTTAAATTATAACTATAAATATCATTTAATTAGTGAACTCATTCAAGATATTTTTAACAACATGGAGTTATCGGATGGCATTGATATCGATGTATTGACTGAAACACTCAAGGAGGTACCAATTGCGGAAAACACCCTAAAAATAACATTTCTAAATAGGATAAGGAGGTATCAAATTTATTTAATTTAATTTTTTATATCTTTAATTTTTAAAGGATCTGGACATGGAAGAAAGAGAAAATTTCTTAGGTATATTTATATCAATTGCTAAATAAAATATTTTATTCCTTTAAAAAAAATTTGAAACTTATTTGTACTATAGTTAAAGTTGCAGGCCCCTCTGTTAGAAGCTAAACTTGAAAATAATTTTAATTATAAATAATCCTTACCCCCGCCTCCCTCTATTAAATTACTGACCTAAGTTATAATTTTGAATTCAAAATAAAATTAATCTTTGTACTTTTTAAACAGAAATTCATATTCTGAGTGCACAAAATACCTAAAATCTATTTTTTATATCCTCCTTTAAATTTAGACATCATAGAATAAAATATTTTTTATTACCAATATATTTACCCTTAATTTGAACAATTGACATTTTAAATGGAGCGTTTTTTATTTAAATTTTCTAATAAGAATTATAAGCAATTTTTAATAATTTATGTGATTATTATGAATTTTTTTTAAGAGTATAATAGAGTTAATATGTTTTTAAATTCAATTTAAGTGAAGATGTAAATGTTGTATAATATTGAGAAATAATTTTTTAATATTTTTTTTTAAAAAAAATGCTCTTTAAACTGGAAATTGTTCTATAGAAGGATATAAGAGTATTGATATTTTTTAAAATATTTTTTTCTATGATGTACAAATGATATGGGATCACATTTAGATAGATTTACATATTTTGTGCATCATAAATCTGAGTTTCTGTTAGTAAACAATTTAATGACAATTCTAATCGGGTGGCCTTAGCAACATTAATCCTTTATATATATATAACAAGATTAATCACCTAAGTGTTGAGCATTTTAAGTTATGAGTGACCATATTTCAATAGTGAAAGCTGTTTTTATGTGGTCATTGTTTATTAAGAAAATTTAATATTAATTATTATATATTATTTAATTTACCAATAATATATTTTTATAACAATACATACTTGTTTTCAATTTCTTATCTAACATCTTGATTATATCATGTATATTCAACTATTTTCATAGTATACTTCTATGCAAATCTTTCTTTTCATTTTATTTATCACCTTACCTATTGATCTTTAACATTTCCCACCAACCAATCCTGACATCACATTATCTATCACCCTTTCATCACTTTCCTTACATCAACCGTATTGCCTCAAATACACTGCTAAAGGCATCTACCTTACATTTATCACCATCCATACATTACACTTGTTTATCAGACAGTGCTAAATGTACCTACCTTACATTTATCACCATCCATACATCACCCTTGTTTCTTAGACTGTGCTAAATGTACCTACCTTACATTTCATACTTCCATTAAATAATGCTTTTATATTTTTTGATTAATTTAATGCTACAATATTAATTCTTTATAAAGGTTCCTGGAGATGTATTTATTTCTCCTGGTTCCCTTGGCTCTGGTTGTTTTATATAATTATGAAAGAATGTTTTAACTAATGATTTAAACCAGGGCTAAAAAAACTCTTAGAGATAGTTGCCTCCACGTGGCTAAGAGTGGACAACATAAAATCCTAGTTAAATCCGATTTTATGGCTAAAACTATCATTTTTTTAGATTCTGACAAAAAGCAGAGAAGCCCACATCGAAGTCTTAATGCTTATAAGTTAAAATAATCAAACGTTGCAAGATATCGTTTTTATAAATTTTTATTTTATGAGATTTTGAGCCTTTGCATATTATAATATTTATGGTTTACTTAATGTATTAATTCTGAAAACTTTTCAAAGTAAAATGTATATAATCCAACGATAAATATATCGGGCATGAATGGCTCGAAGCACTTCCAAGCCAAACCTTAGATATCTAAACCAATGACCAATTGAGAGTTACTATGGATTTAGATTGGGTGCTCGCTTATACATCCACACTCTTGCCACCAATGCAACTTATTCAACCTAACGCCCGACACGGCCTAAAATGCAACCTCAGCCAAGGTCGCCATCTCCGGCATAAAGCAATTAATAAAATCATCCATAACGCTTTTAATAAGGCTAAAATACCCAACATCCTCGAACCAACCAACCTTTCATTTCAGGATGGCCTCAGACCAGATGGTTTAACTTGTACTCCTTGGTCCAACGGGAACCTTATTTGGGACGCAATCTGCGTCTCCTCCTTTCCTTCATCAACTAATTCAAACCGTCTTAGGGGAAAATAAAAAAATTTATAAATATTCAAAATTAAAAAACTTACTATTTCAACCAATAGTCATATCAACTAACGACAATTTTTCACAGTCTACATATTTTTTAAAAAACTTTATCGCAAAAAATTTTTAACATAACAAACGAAAATCGCGAATCTATATTTCTTAAACAAAAACTTCAACTAGAAATTTTTAAACACAATTATACATGTTTTTTAAGTACATATTCATTTTTAAATTAAGCTCTTTTTAGACCCTCAACTTATAATATATATTATTTTTATTTTTATTTAGTAATTTTATATATTTTTATATACAATATTTTAGTGTTTTATCATTTTTTTAAATTAATAAAGTTTATAATTATTAAAAAAAAAAATTATGTGATGATTATGAATTTTTTTCTATGAGTATAATAGAGTAAATATTGTTTTTAAATTTAATTTATAAGTGAATATGTAAAATGTTGTATATAGAGTGTTGTGATGATTTAATAAAACAGGTTGATGATTAAATTAAAACCCATCCATATAAAATTTTTAAAAAATGCTCGTTTTAAAATGGAAATTGTTCGATAGAATAAGAGTTTTTATATATTTTTTAAATTTTTTATCTATGATGTTCGAATTGATAACATTTAAATGGGTTTACATATTTTGTGCATCATTATCTGAGTATCTTATAGATAAGAATAAAATTTCTAAGCTAAATGATAATTCCAATCGGGTGGCCTTAGCAACAATAATTAATAATCCGTACAAGATAATCATCTCAATATTTGGCATTTTAACTTATGTTTTTATAGTTTAAAAGTGACCATATTTCAATAGTGAAAACCGTTTTTATATGATCTTTGTTTATCAAAAATATTTAATATATTATACACTACTTCATATTTAATTTACCAATAATATATCTTTAAACAATTCTTTTTATATTACATAAATATAAATTAAATACCTTCTATAACTATTTTAAGCTATACTCTTATTTGTCACTTTTCCTTAATTTTAACAGGTAAACCAACCTGCTAGTATTATAATAATATATACAGTTAAAAATAATGTTTCTAAAATAAATCTCAATAATTACAAAAGTATTGTATATCACAAAAAGAAAATACAAATCTCAAAGACGCATTTACGAAGCATATGCAGCGACTATTCTGTTTTTGCATCTATATCAGGCGAAATTACATAGAGTAATTTTTGTATCCATTTACTAAACTTATCTTAATATAAGAGTTAGAAAAATATGGGCTTAAATTTTACTTGATGTTAGAATCTTTGAATTGAATCTATTTGAGATATAATAACCTGGAAATGCTACAAATAGAAATAAAAAAATTAATAAAGTAGAATCATATGGTGGGATTAAAAAAAATTTTTACCAGTTAGCAAACAAATTAGTCCGGTGACGCCAATATCTTTAGGTTTCGATATTATAGGAGATATGATTAGAAAGAGGCATACCAAAAAGCAAAGTATATGTATACCGATGTTCAACTACATTATTAATATAAAATAAAATAAATTATAATTAGAGACATTTCAAAATTAAATTTTTTTGGCCCAAGCTCGTCCGAAGCCTCATGAATAAATTTTTTATAGCTTTCTATAGATGAAAAATGTATCTCAAAATCTTATTTTATTTTTCATTTTTAAAATAATAACATTATATTTAAATATTCCGGCAATAAATGGAATGATTAAATGAGGTTTATTTATTTTATTCAATGCTATTTATAAAAATAAATGTGAAATATTTCCCACTTCTTAATTTTTTATTAAAACATTTTAAATTTATTTTAATAATGTCCCACGTGCTGGGTTCTGGCCTACCCTGCCAGACGTTGTATTTAGCCATTCGGAAAATAATCTTGATTACACGCTGTTTGTATTCTATAACCCCCTTTTTGAATTGCAAATCAAGAATGTTATATACTTTTATAGGTCACTCCAAATCTTTCCTTTTGAACCTGAGGTAAATGAGAGCCAAAATACAGAGGACAATGAAGAAGAAGAAAACGAAGCAGAAAAAATTTATCAGCGTATCGATATCTTTCCCAATCAAATACAGTATCGATAAAAAGCCCTAATATAAATATAAATTATAACTCTAGATCAATAATCATGTAAATAATGTGATGTTAGTTATACCCAAAATCAAAAATTATCTATAAATTTATGTAGTTTTGTTAGTTTAATTTCATAAAAAAAGAAGTAATTTTTATAAAATTATACAACAAATCATTTGTCAGACCAAATCATACGAATAAATCATTGTCAAAAAACAAACTAAGATTAATATTGCAGGTATTGGCGTGAAATATTTCCCGTGTATCATGGCAAAAACCTCTGGCAGTTGTTTTTCTTGTGTTCCTATTAATAAAATCCTATTTTTTAAAAAAATCATAAGGATTTTAAATAATATATGACTGATATAGTTTTAGGTTGTTGAAAGTTAACGAATGTTTTTGACATTACTCTGCCATTTAAGTTATACCAAATATTTTGCTATAAATAAATTCAGTACCTTCCTGAGGTAAATAATATTCCATTCGCGCTGCCGATGGCGGATAAAGCAACGAAAAATGGCATAATCCAGGCCAATCTTGGGTCAATTTTGAACGAGAAATCCTAATAATAATAGAATAATAATTTTTTAAATAAATATGCGGCATTGCGAATAATAATTTTTTAAATAAATATGCGGCATTGCAACCCTAGTTGTCATCCAGTCTAGAAAAGAATAAAGTGGTAGACGAGGGGGAGAGGGGGTAAATAAGATCACTTTAATAGGGTTTCTTATAAAAATATAATTGAGGGTAAGTATCAGGCCTAAGTATTTAAATCAAACATACAACTTTTAAAGCCCCCAGTTTAGGAGTCAATCTAAATTTATTCTATCGGCGGACTCAAAAAAAATGCCCATTATATTTATTTTACAAAGCTTGTATCAATCATGAAAAAATTTTTATATATAAAAATCATAAAATATTAGGAATTTAAGCAAAATTTGATAGAAAATCCTTGGCTTAAAAAAATATTTCATAGATGTTGAAAAATATTTCAATCTCTGGTTTAAAATAAATGTAAGATATATATATTGAGAGAATTGAATTACGATTTTACAAATGCAACGGCTAAAGATGTCTTTATTTCAGAAGGAGATAAAACCGCTAAAAAAGCTACGTTTGTCAACAAATAAACTAAAGTCACTATTGGCATTGCAATTATGATGGCTGATGGAAGATTTCTTTGTTTAAATATATAGTGAATATAATAAGATAAAAATTGTTTGTTTTTTAAAAAAGTCCCAATATAAAGAATAATTTTCTTAAAAAACGCTTACATATAATATTTTAAAGTTTATGGTTGCGCCCGAAAGATATTTAAAAATTCCAAAAGTTTTAATGTTTTAAGGAAGAATTTGATGATGTTTATAAAATTTTAAAGAAACCTAATAATAAAGTATACAAATATGTTTTGGCCATATTTTTTTTTTTTCAATTAAAGAAGGATTTCGTGTTCGAAGAAGTTTTCCAATTAAATTTTTTGAAGTTTTGGACACAGCCTTATTTATTTCTTTTAAAAATATTATCACAATTCAATACCCTGTTAAAAATTCCAAAATTTTAAACTTTCAAAAGATTAAGGAAGTCTAAAAATGATAAAGTTTTAAAAAATTATCACAAATAATATGTTTTGGCCTTATTTTTATTTATTTATTTTATTAATGCTGTGTCCTAAATATATTTAAATAAAACCTCAAAATTTATAAATTTTCGTAAATTAATAAAATTATAAAACATGCTCGAATCTTCCATTATATTTATTTAAAATTTTGTAAAAATTATTTCCTAGAAAATGAAAACATGGCGCAATATTTGAAAATACTTCCGGTGGAAAATTTGAAGTGATAGAACGGTAAATATTATTTTATTTTAATCATATTTATTTACAGATTCTATGAACATTATATCTCAATATTGATAGCAATTATAACTTACACTAAAGAAATTAAGCTTAAAATCAGCCATCACCCACCTTTAAAGTAATTAAATTATACTGTAGTTCTCGGGTATAGGCTTTTTCTTTGTCCCACTCCTTTTAAATTAAAGCCTATAGAGGTTTAAGCAACATTTTTCGAAATGTTGTGCCTACAAGTACGTGCGGCTTGCCCACAAACGTGTGGAGGGCTCCTCATATTTTTACTTTTATACCCAAATTAAATTGTTCCAATTAGATGGAAATGAGGAAAACCTAGCGTAGCTCTGTTGTGTATTCAACGTTAGAGGGCGATGCGCTATATATCACGTAAAATAATGAAAAACAAAACAAAACAAAACAAAAACAAAACAAAACAAAACAAAACAAAACAAAACAAAACAAAACAAAACAAAACAAAACAAAACAAAACAAAACAAAAACAAAAACAAAACAAAACAAAAAAATACGAGAATAAAATACGAAAGATAACGATGACACCAAATACTTTAATATTATTATTTACTATTGTTTTAATAAAAATTACATAAATTTATAAATTTTAAGCAAAATTCAAACGAAAAATGATTTATAACAGTATTTTATTTTTACTAAAAATAGTTTATGTTAATTTTTTCTTCAAAATTATTTATTTATTTATATTTTTGATATTTAGGACATTGAAATAAAAAAAATTATGTTGAATAAAATATAATATCCCTTACGTCTTATAAATTTACAATCCTTCTCATTCTAAACGTTTCTCAGCCGCTAAAGCGAAGTATAGTTTATATGGCAACGAGAAATTCAATATAATTCAGTATTACATTTGGGTATGAATAAATCTTTAAAATATAGATTTATAATTTCATGACAAAATTAATTCGTGAAGCCACATTATATGAATTAAATTTTAAAGATTATTCTATTTTATGAATTCCTTCATACACTGAATTCCTCTTCAATGACATTAAAATATATATATAATAAATATTATTTTTTTATTCCCAACATTATTATAAATACATAAAGTTTTAAAATAAATTAACCTGTTAGGATTTTTTAGTTCCTCTGTCACGAAATTCAAGAAATTCCTTAATATATATTTTTTTTAAAAACCTTAATATATCTCCTATATGAACTTTTAAACTTGATATAAATCTATTAGTTTTCCCATAGATTTTTTTATATAAAATATAAATGCTTAAGGGTTAACGACAAAGTTGCTTACTATTTATAAGATAAGTATTCTAAACATGCTGCAGGGTTGGGCAGTACCGCGAATACTTGTATCTAAGATACAAGATCCTTTTGTATCTTGTTCTCAGTATCTTATTGACATTTTTAATAAGATACTAGTATCTGTATCTAAGATCCTTTATTTTGAAAAGAATCTTGTATCTTTTTCATTTTCTTTAAAAAGATACAGATGCAGATTCTTTTTAATATTCATGTTTATAACATTTACATATCACACAATGTAACTTTATTTTCTTCGTGAAATCTTGTATATTTTCTTTATTTTTTCCTGCTATATTTTAAATATATTGATAACCAAAATTAGTTGGAAATTTTACAGATCACAAAGATAGATAGATTAAAAATAACAACACCGAAACAAAATAAGTAAAGGTTATATTTTATATGTAATATTTTTTAATTTGTGAATGTTTAACATTTATAGTAGTGAAGATGAAATTATGGAAATAGGTTCTCGTGAATCAAATCCGAATCTTAAAATTTTAGATGGAAAATTTTATAAAGTAATTCATGTGAAAAAGGATAAGGTACAAGCCAAATGTCAAAATTGCACAAGTAAAAAAGTTATTAATGGTTGAATAAACTTCTCTACAAACTTTGTTAAACATATTAAAGTATAGTATATATTTTTATTTTATAATTATTAACATAATAATACCTATGCTTAAGTCCCTCTTAGATAATTGTTATTAAATTTTTTTATAAAAGATGGTTGATTATCAAATTAAAATCATTTTGGATCACTTTTTAAGGTCGATCCGATCCGATATTCCCTACATTAAATTGATATCGGCCGATTACCGATCCGATATCATATCTAATTTTTTATTCTGTAAAGATAGGTTTTAATTTTTAATATACTTTTTATTAGTATAACATCTATAATTTAACTCTACCATAACTTAGATCATTTAAATATATTATAATGATCAGTTATAGTTTATATTCAATTCAATTGCAATTCTAAAAGTATATAAAATATTTTTATTGTTAAATCACTTTTATATAATAAGTAATAACATTAATCTATATACATATTAAGTAATAAACAATTATATAATGAAATTTGAAATAAATATTTAAAATAATATTTAACATTAATATAAGATTTCTTTTTAGAAATACCAATATTTCCAACTTATCAGAGGTCAGCCTGCGGCGATACTAACTGTCAATATCATCAGCATCACTAAAAACAGATTCTGAAGAGATTATCACACACTTTTATAAATAGAATGCGCAAAAACATAACATTTGAGTATTTTAAAATGGGTGAAATATCGGCCCATCCGATGAAAAATATCGGCACATCCCTAATATTTTATATTTAATTATTTTAGCAAGTTATTATTAGAGCAAATATTTAAACTAAATTTAACTTTATTAGTTACTTTTATTTATTTATGATATAAGTAAAATTACATTACAGTATTTATTTACAAAATTTAATCAATTTAAATGCATTAAAGAAAATTGTTTTGTATTATCTTCATATTTTTTATATATAATTAATGATTTTACAAGAAATATATAAAAAAAATTTGAAAAGAGATTCAAATGATATTTATATTAGATATCTGCAGGCCCGACCCGTACCCGACTCGGTCCGCCACGGCCCGAACGGGCTTCGTGCCGGGCTCGGGCCTAATTCTATTTAAAATAATTGGGTTTGGGCCGGGCCTAATATTTAAAAAAAAATTTGGGCCGGGTCGGGTCGGACCTTATAAATTTTTTTAAATATATCTAAATTTATCAATTTTATATTGAATTTTTTATGTAAAATAAAAATATTTGATTTTATTTATTGAAACTAAACGACATATAATACTTGTCTTTTATTTTGAGTAATTATAAAGCTTAATTTCTATGTTTAAATAAATTCAGGCCGAGCTGGGTCGGTAAATTTTTTTTAAAAAAAAGTCGGGTTCGAACCGGGCCGGCAAACATTTTAAAAAAAATTTTGGTTCGCGCCGGGCCGGCAAAACTTTTCTAAAAAAAATTCGGGCCGGGCCGGGCTTGAAAAATTAGGCCCGATTCAGATCATTAATTGATGGTAATCAAAATAGAGAAATTAATTGCCGAACGTTTTTTTTAACACATCTATCTGTCATTTACATTTTGGTGGAACACGATAAACATTTTAGAAAAATGTAATCTTGACATTCTCACAAGAGTAATTTGAATAAATATCGATCGCGTCCATTTTAAAATTGTACTTATGGATATGGGGAAAACATGTCTCTCTTATTTTCCAAGAATGACTATTAGTCCATCACCTGATTTAAAAGAAGATTTACTAAATAAAAGAATTCCTATTAAAGGAGTTATTCACGATAAGAATAATTCCTTAACACCCAAATCACGAACTGAAAATAAAGATATTAAAGTATTGCCTAATTTACCATCCTATCTTCATCAAAAAGTTTTTTCATATCAATATGATATGGTATCCGTTTTTTCAATTCAAGGAAAAAGAGCAACAATGGAAGATAAATTCAGGGTAGTCCAACAAAAATCACCATTCCCTATTCTTATATTTGGTGTATTTGATGGTCATGGAGGAAGTGTAAGTATTTTTACAGATATAGCAACAAAACATTAGTTTTTTTTAAAATATAGCATAATTTTATTTTTGTATTTAAAGAAGAATATAATGTTTTTGGCTTTAGCTAATTATTATATTTTGTTGTAAAGTTTGCTGTAGAATATGTTGAATCAAAATTAATTCCAAATATACTCAATGCAATGAATCATTACATAAAAAAGATGCACCCTAAACATGATATTACCACATCAAATAAAGATAATAATAATAACCAAAAATCTCAACAGATATTCCTTAATTCTACAGAACGTTCTGTTATGTACAATAGAATATTAAGTCAAGAAATTCTAACATTAGATAAAGCATTATTACAGAAAGCTGATTACATGAATAACAATTCTGGTAAAACTAAATCTTGAATCTTAATATTTAATTTTATATAGATGAACTATAATTATCATAAATGAAACAATTGTTAATATTAAAAAACATATATACATTAAAATTCAAGATTGACCACCTCTTTATTAATATTAATTTATATTATATCAACTAGAAACTAAATATCTAAATTTTTGGCCAGAACCTTCCCTCAACCAGGTGACAAAAAAATTTCCAAATCCAGGCCTAGCCCACATAGCTCAATTTTATTAAGGAAACATATGAGGAAGAAGGCTCAACATATTTATTTTATTTTCTATTTTAATTTTATACATTAAATTTAAATATTAGGCAATAACTGATAATTTAATGTTTATTCTACTCGTTATAAAACATAAGAAAATAGTAAATTTACTAAATCCTGGTTTTTAAATGACTAACCCTGTAGTACATTAATCTCAACATTATAGCTTGGTATTTTTAACTCTTCCTTCAATTTTTGAGAAAGGAGAAATAAATTAACACCACAAATGCACTTAACAAGTAAGGTTGATTCCCAAGAGTTATAAAATCTATAGATCCACCTACTTAATAGGTACATGTGTGGCCTGATTATCATAAATTGTATGCACTATAATATTATTAGATGCACTTTGGCTCCAAATTCTTTTTCACGGACACCTCTGTCTTTATTTTCCATTCTATATATAAATCATTTTATTATACATATATGAACCTAATGTATCTTTCAATTTCTTTCTAAAAACCTGATGATTAACGTAATTTTTTGGACCCAAATGTGTATTAGACATGCATATGGTGTTATCTAATAGAGTGATCCTTTCACCACATATATCTTGTTTTTTTTTTCAATTTTAAATAATTTTTTTAGCAGGTTTTTTAAAATAAATTTCAAATATCGTATTTTATCAGAAATGTATTTTGGCGTGTTTGAAATGTATACTCTTTAAATTATTAGCCTTTCCATAGATTTTAAATTATAAACTCAAAAAATCACTGTGAATTGTCTGAAATTCACAGGGTAGATATTCCACACTAGAGGTTAGTGCCTCTAGCCCAAAAGCCCTACTCACGAGCCAGACCAGAAAATTATTTTTTACTGGGTCTAATATTGCATAATTGCTGAGTAACCAGGGTGAAAAGGCTAAGCCTAATTAAACTTAGATAAAGTTTTTAACCAATTATGCATATCTGAATTGTACATATTGTTAAACATATGCTTATAGGTTTGACAGAATTTTTTTTAAAGCTGATCATTGAAAATTTATGTCGCCTTAATAAAAAAATATTGGGAGCTGTGTGGGGTAGCTTGTATAATGTATATTTTACAAGCTAGTCTTCTAAAAATAATTACGGGCAAGGCTAAGAACCCAATAGATCAGTTCTACAGGAAAGTTTGGGGGTGCTGTCCTCTATTTTGCACTTGCTGGAATACATTTCCCATAAAATGAGGTTTTTTAATTTTTAAAAGGGGGCTCAAGGAATTATTTTAAATAAAGGTTAAAAATTGACACATATTAACAGGGGAAAAAATACATTTTATGCTTTTATAACTAAATACTTTGATGATTTATTGTGATCAAAATTTTTTTGGTAAATTTTGTAGGACTAATTATGGATTGACTTGACAAAATGTATTGCTAAATAAATTATTTATTTCTATCTGATATTAATATTAAATAAAAAACGATTACATATCGATTTTATTGTGATAAAAAAAATGTAATATTCACAAAATCATTATTTTCCAATCTGTATATATTTTTTTTAAACTTAAGTGATTAAAAAAAAGAAGGAAAAGTTTTAAAAAAAATTTTGGGCTTTGTCATAGCTTTTTCGATTTTTAGTCAAAATAGTTATATGAATAGAATGTTATTTTTACATTGAAAAAAAAGAAACTACACCTTTACCCTGCATTCATAGTCGGCGATGTATACAAAAATTATTATATTCATATCATATCATTTTGTATTCGTCGCTAATTCGCGCTAACTGTGAATGCAGGGTTAGCCATATTTTAGAGATATTACATCACACCTTATAACAAAATGTTTAAAAAAACAAATGAAAAGGGTGTCCTGCTTTCGCATAGATGGCAAAATGGTTTGACCCTCTTTTGACCAAATTTTATTGACTTAAGGTAATATTGTTTTCGGTTATAATCTTGATTTAGCCATTTTGATCAAGGTTTTGGCACAACTAATTGGTTTTTGACTGACCAAAATACGGATCAACAAAAATATTATTACCATCGCGTGTCTTCGTAATTATATGAGTTCGACAACGCGAAATGCAAAAAAAATTGGGAATATTTCTTATATACATATAGATGACAGGGAAAGTAATATTGTACAAAAATCTATAGCTGCCTGCTTAAATATTTCTTTGAAATTTTGAAGAAAACATAAATAATTCAACTCGGATTTTATTCGTCACATGTAGATTAAACCGAATCCTATTTGATTTTTATACATTCCGAATTATTTTAAAATTTTGATCTACAATAAAAACAACCAAATTTTTTTTTAATTTCAAAAAGTTTATGCTGCGTGTAATCTCAGGTAAGGCCCTCGAGGGTAAATAAAATGCTTGCATTACAACGACGTCTGTTAAATTTCCAATAATAATATACCTTATCAGCCCAAAAATATTAATATTTTAAAAATCAATAAATGTCTGACTTGTAAGAAAAACATATGTTTAAAAAACAACTTCTTTTGGGCATAAAATAGATGTTGTAACTGTAATTAATTTTTTTATATATTTTAAAAAAACGCTAAGTAATAACTAATTAATATAATTTATTATTGGCAACAATATCGGAACTGAACTAAAAATATGCAGCGTTTCAAGTTTCCCGAAATTATTTGATTGGGCACTGACTTTTACGTGAATTAGAAATTACCAAAAAATGGTTGAACAGGATTAGTCTAAATCCTTGCGAATTCAATTTTTTTTTTATTCGGTCTGAAATTTTCATTAACTTTAATGGGATTACCCCAATTTTTTTTTAGTTTAAGACTAGTCCGGTTCGAAATTTTTTAGGCCCTATCCCCGCTTTGTTTTTTTTATTCTAGGCCCGGGCCCAAATTTTTAAAGAAAGAAAGAATTTGAATCAAATAAAAATTACAAGCATTTTCTTAGTAATTCCAAAGAAATTCAAATTATCATTCTATCTTATGAAAAAGAAACGATAACAAATTTTTTCAAAGCCTGAACTCCAACCTGCCAATTTTTTTTATAAAGTTTAAGACCCGCCATTTTAAAAAGATTTTTTTATAGGCCCGAGCCGACGTTTATTTATTTAACGGACGTTTGGTTGATATACGCTTCTTTTTTTAACCAAATACTTCTATTATTAGACGAAAGGTATTTCATTCAATTTTTCCAATAGAAATTCAGATAAATCTGCTGATTTTATTTTTAACGGCCAATGTCAATTATAATAACCAATAATAAAATAATAAGATTTTATAGAAACCGATATTTAAAATATAAAACAAATAACATTTTTATAAAATCAAATTATTCATTTTTTTATCCTATTTTTTTTTATATTGTTCGTTATTTTTTTTTGTTATTTATTGTTAAGGTCGCTTTAAAATAAAAAATTTTTTTATTAAAACAAACGACAAATGTCGAGTAAATTTTTTTTTTAAATTTTAAATTCATATAATGGCGGAATTTTAATTGTTCAAATTTATTGATGATGATTGCATTCGTATATCTACTTACCTATACTACCTAACCCCTTATTCATAGTTAGCGCGAACAGCTAATTATTCAAAATATGCTCTATTTTAGTACATTTATATATCCTTCCCCGCGAATTCGTGCTAACTCTGAATGCGGGGTAGGACGGCAAGTGTTAATGCACACCGAACCATTTGCTAAACAACGATCAAATTGCCAAAATATAATAAGACTAATTAATTTTCTAATCGGAATAACGTGGTCGAGTCCTATTTATTATATAACATCCCCTAAGTATAGAACCACTAAGTTGGATTCAGACAAAAAAAATGACCCTTAATGGATTCGAGCCCAGGTTTATTTGTGATCAACGCAAGCACCGACTAGGCTAATACTAATCCATCTTTTTTATTATTTATATAAAGCATAAACTTGAAGTTTCTGATGTGCCTGGTAATTTATGAAAATCATGAAAAAACAGTGCGCGCTTGGCATGCATTATCATTATCCTACCTAAGACTGATAATTCGTTCGTTAAAATGCATATTGAAATGTCGTTTAGATTTTGAGGTGTTGTTAAAATACAAATCAGCTGATGGCACACCATTTTGGTCTCCCAATAATTTTTTTATTATTATTAATTAGTTGCTGATTTGTATTGATATGTATTTAAATGAATAAATGCAGGTAATTTATTATGTCATGATTGATGCTAACTGATAAGAAATGGGCGCATAGTTTATTCTTTTCGAGGTGGAAATCTTTCTTATGATTATCTTTCACAATTTATTACTAGTGTGAAAAGTGCCATATATCTTTTTTTGGATAAATTCATTAAAAAATGCATTATTTATTGCTGAAAATTAGTATGCCTGTGTTAATGGTAGTATTGTTAATGTTAGTTATATATTATTTTTAGAATGGCTATAACTTTAACTCTAGTTTTATTATATTAAATATTGATATATATAACTAACTAATTGTGTGGCACATGTTTTAAATGTAACTCGTAAATTTTTTTTCTCAAAAATGTAGCTTTAACTTTTATTTAGGGCTGGTCCGATCCACATATTTTTCACCGATCCGATACCCATCCGATATTTATAAAAGATATAACATTTTCCACGAGAATATGTTAATTAATAGCTTAATTTAATTAAATAACACTAAGAATAACTTAAATTTTTTAGTGTCTTTTGCCTGTTTAACTGTCAGGTTTAAAAAATATTTATTATATAAAAAATTTTCTTAAAATCAATAAATTTTGATTAACTTTTTAAATTAAAAATTAATTATTTTTCTTGGCCATTTTATTTATTTTTTCCCAATATTTTATATCCATTTCAATGATTTATTGATAGAATTATTTAACATTCAATTTTGCTTAAATTACATTTAGACCTAGCTGAACACGTTTTCCCCTATTCTAGTCACACCTTTTGTCCACCTTTTCCTAACCTTAAACAATAAACAATTAGTAATATTCAATAATTTTAATTCTTCAACCGCTTTTTTTATTTGATCGAGTTGAAGAATATTTTTGAATTTTTATTAGGTCGTGACTGTACTCTTAAACTTTCATAATTTATCTCACCTACTTACTACCCCTAAGTCTATTCTAAATGCATATATTTACTACACTTGATTTTAGCACTATTTTTGATTGCCATGCGTCATGTCACTAAAATACAACATAAGTGCGATTTATTTCTCAGGAGATCGGCTTAAACCGATCTACAATTTTTTTTTAGCCTGGCCCGAAAAATATCGGCGGTTTCCCAGCCCTTTATTTTTTTTGATAGAAAAATTATAAATTGGCATTAATTCAAAGTTTAATTATTTTTTTAATAAATAAAAAATATTTTGCGCACATTGCCTGATTCGAAAAGTATTTTACGCAAGTTGACTAAAGTTGCCCGCTTTTTTCCGTCTTCGGCTGTTCAGATTTCTGGTATGAATAGGAGTTGTATATTTTTACTCTCCATCCTTTACTACAACGAAACTTTCGTAGGATGGTCATCTCATATCTTGACTGTTTTAAGTTGAGCGCTTGCCAAAATCCCTATTTAAAAAACTCAAAATCAGCCGGTTGAAACTACGAAATCATAACAAATAAAAATTACATTGATTTTTATTTACATTTTAAAAAAAAATAAAATTGAATATTAATTTATCTTAATTCAAGTTTAGACTATTGGATGAGTAATGTTCTCTTCCAGAGACAAAATTTTATTTAGTTACTTCATAGAAATACCCCCCCCCCCCCTTCCCCAGATTTTAACAAAATATTGAGGGTTAGTCTTTGAATGGTTATGTAATATTGATGCCGCTGGTAATACAAAGGTTATGGGCAGAGCTGGCTTAAGAAAGGTTCCTGTTCTGGTACTGGATTTTTAAAAAAGTGGTTCCGGTTCTAGTCAAATTTTGAAAAGTAGGTTCCTGCTCATTGATGCGCCAAGGCCTTCACTCCCGGTCCCAAACTCTTTTAACGTCATCAAAAAAGAAATGAATTACACAATATCAAAATTACTGATTGCTTAGTCCTTTGTTTCTACCCCCCCCCCTCCCAATATAATAATCCGGTCTGGTTCGATTTTTAAACCCGGTTTCGGACAGACTTCTAAGGGTTAATACTTTTGGAATAAATATTCTCTAATCCTATTCTGATGTGTCATTTTTGTTCTTCCTTTAACTTTTTATTTTGTTTACATTTTCACGTGTTGATAAATATCATCGAAATATTTTGAATTTTACAAAGTACCAGAGTTATTAAATATTTAGCAAAATGCTATATCTATAACGGTACTTCGATATATTTTAAGCTGTATGAATCAATATCCAGATTTATTTAATAGTGTCTTTTAACAACTCTGCTTAATACCCTAACATGACTCAACTATTTATTTTGTTTACAAATTCACATAAAATTTGATGAATCATAGAAATATTTTAAATTAGCACTCAATACCAAACTTGTTAAATATCTAGATAGAAAAATGCTCTATCTCGATACATTTTAATCGGTATCAATATCCAGAGGCATTTAAAAAGTGTCTTTTAGCAACTCTGCTTAATACCCTAACGTCCAAAGTTTTCTCTTACTTTTCGCTCTAATCTATTTTGTGATGGATTGTCCAACAATCAACTAAGAACAACTGCATCAAAAATGGATTTAAAGCTAACAAAAAGTAAAAGTTAAAAAAAATAATAGCATAGGACATAGCAAAAAGCACAATTGTCATCATTCCAAAATTACATATTTTATTATCCTTTTTTTAAATAAAAATAAATAGGCACCACGTGTTTATTGGGCATTTTGTTTGCGGGCGATCTCGTTCTGGCCAATACGGGGGACTGTCGAGCCATTATGTACGATTCCAAAGGCAGGACTCTTCAATTGACGGTCGATCACAAACCCCAAAACGTAAATTAAATTTAGTTCCTACCTTCCTAGTTAGCGATTAAAATTGCGCCATGCCATTTTATTTAAAATATGAAAAAAAATTCACTTGTAAATTATACGAAAAAATGGCAAAGCAAAAAGAATCGCGCTCAATTTATTTCGCAATGAACCCATTTTTGTTCGAAAAAATAAATGATTGGTGCCAAATGAAATCGCGCAATTTTAATAGTTTGCTAGGATGTACCCCTTGGCCAAAAAATAAATTTAAAAAATTGGCAAGATAACTTGTTCGATAAAACAATAATTAATAAACCATTTTTCCCCCATTTTATCGCAACAGTAATAAATGGTAGTAGAATCCTGCGTACAGGTTTGGCCATCTGGCAAAATTTACAAAAAGATTTCTTTGTCCAATTCTGTCCGTCCGCTTTATTTTTAAAATCCAGCCCGAATATCATTACCGGTTTAATCCGATTTTAGTTATCTCTTACTTAATTGGTAGAGTACCCCTATACTGAACGGACCGATTCGAAAATTCGCGCCGGTAGAATTCGGACAGGTAATCTCACAGATCGGATCTTAATTTTAAAATTTTAATTAGGACTGGATTTTCACCTCGATACAGTATCAGTTTTAAGAAGAAAAAATCTTCAAAGATTCTTGCTCAAAATTTTGCTCATTTGGAGATTTTTTTTAAACTTTGGTTTTAAATTATTTTATTTCTTTTAAAAAAAACACATAACAAGAATAACGGGCAATTTTTTTAAATTTTTCTTTCGTTCGTGAAATATCATAACTTTTTCAACAGTACATTAAAAAAAATACTCGGATTAGAAATAGGTCATTAAGAGCTCTAATTAATAGCATTCTAGATAAATACTCGTGTTAAACAAACAGCTCCATTTTTGTAAACGGCTTAATCCATATTTTAGCTAAAATTATATTACCCAAGCGTTGAAATTTTGTTAATAGATGATAGAAAGGCTTGGACATCTATTAACGAAATCTCTAGGCTTGCATTTTATATTTTTTTTGGCAAAATATTAGGTTAGCCTTTTAACAATACTGAAATTCTCTAATTTTTTCTTAATTTTTTGATCATTATCAGAAGAAAAAAAAATTAAATAATATGTATTAATTTACGCCTTTCTTTCTTATCTAATTCTCGTAACCAATTATAAATGTGTAAACACCAAAAATTTAAAGTTTAGATCTTTCTTTCTTTTTTTCATTTTCTTGAACCTCTAACAAAACAAATTTATATCTTTTACAAAATTAAATTAATTTAAGATTAAATAAATAAAAACATTTCATTTTATATAATTTAATTTTTAAAAAGTATGAAAAAGTTTTATTTTTAAAGGATAACCTGGTTTTTATGTTTCTCTTTTGAAAAGAAATTATATAATATAATTTATGCAATTAAAGATTTTTTTTTTAAAAAATAATTTTCTAAGAATTATCTTTAGTATAAGTAATTTTTTATAAAAGGGAGGGAAAAAAAGAAACTTTTTTAGCTTCCTTTTTTTAAATTTTACTTTTTGAGCCAAAAACGAAAAGGCGAGATTTTGTCGCTGTGCACATAAATTATTTATGATATAAAAAAAATAAATAATTAAAAATTTCTTAAGCGGCTACCATGATTATTTTAAATGAATGACATAATTAATACCTTGACTGACCATTCATTCATTTAAATATGCATCAATACAAATTAGTTGGTGGCACGCCATTGTAGTTTTCACATAAAATGTCACACGCTGATTTTTATTTAGCGACACTTCAAAATGCGTGATATAAATACGATTTATCCTCTTTTTAAAGCTGTGCCCAAAATTTCAAATAAATAAAATCGCAAACTTTCGAAACTTTTAATGAAAATAAATAAATATAAGCTATTTTGGATATAAAAGTAAAAACCTGTCCAAAACATAATTCTAGAAATTTTTTTTATAAATTTCAAAAAAATTTTAACTTACGATTTTCATTAAAATTTAAAATTTGCGAAAGTTATAAAACTTTTCAATTTTTTTTTAAAATGGTTTTGACTTTTGATACAATCTTTAAAAAAATAATTGAGAGAAATCATTACTCTACTTCTAAGTGTTGTTCTATTATTATTTTGAACCAGTTGACATCAGATCCTCATTCAGGGCACAAATATGCGATATATTTATTCTGACATAGTATTTTTATATTGATTACTCTCGTAAGGTCACCACTTATGATTCAGATAGTTTAGGTTGGGGTAGGTTACTTTCAAGAAAACTGATCATTATAAAATTCTTCCTGAATATGGATTTTAGTCAGTAAATTTTCTATTGAAAATTGATAAGATTTCTATAGTATTTATATCATAAAAATTTATAAATAAAAAAACGAATATATAAAATTTAGTCGCATATTGAAAATTAGATACCATTTGGCAGGATCAAATCAAGACCTCTTTCATGAAAATTTGATGTTTCAAAAATTATGTATCAAATAAATTAAAATATTAATTATATATATATATAGTATTATGGTGTTTCCCCATCCATTAAATAAAAGGGAATTATTTTTAATTTGTCAGTGAATAAAAAAAAAATTGTCATGATAATATTTAGAATAGAATGCCTAAAACAAATCATTCGTAAATAAATTAAATTTAAATGCCAAGATAAAATGATTAAATGAGCTAGCTATTCATCATCAAAAAGGATGGAAATAGCTCGAGGAATGAAATGGACTCCCTTATATTATTGATATTCTTGTTTTTTTTCAAAAGGAAAACGATATTTGTAAAATTAATACTACAGATCAATATATCATCGTTATCAGTGATGACACGGCTCGGACATTTTCGCTAATACATGTCCAAACCTTTCTGCCATCTATGAGCAAAAATCTTCAGGCTTGCGGAATATTATTTTGGACTAAAATTTTGATTAGCCATTTTAAAAAATCGGCTAAATCTATCCGTTTAAACAACACTAATCATGCATTGGGTTATCCTTAAAAAATGGGAAACATTTTTTTTTGGAATCCGTCTCCTCGATGTTAAACTTTTAAAAATTATTAACGCTATCAAGAATTTTCTAATGTCCTCGTCAAAGATTGACGTTATATATTAAAAAAATATATTACCAAACATTTTAATAGTAAAGAGAAAAAAAATTTCTCCATCATAATACGATGATAATCTAATAAAACATTGATTGCCGATAATTATATATTTAAAATTTCGCCATAATTCTCTGTATATATACACTTCATATGAATTGTATATCGATTTATTATATTATTTTAAAAAAATTCATATCGAACCAAACACATAAATGAACGGATAATGTTTAAATATGATAATATGATTATTAATTGTATTTTTTAAGGCCAATTTACCGGTTAAAACCTACTTTTAACCAAAAATTTACACATTGTCCTGGTTCGTTTTATTTTTTAAAATTTATATATATATTTAAATAAATATAATTTCTACATTTTTATCCGCAAGACGCTTTACCTTTTACGTAAATCTAAATAGCCTATTTTTGGGTTGTTTAGAGAAAGTGATGCCCACTATACAAATACCAGGGCACGGCTTTCTGAGTTCATTTTATAAAAAATATATAGCTCAAATTTGCAGAAAGTAGCAATGCCTTAGTGGGGTTTTTTGGCAGGTGCTGCAAAGCTAAATAAAAATTGAAATTATTTTTTTCTTTCAGTAGTCTTTATGATACGATTAATTATTATGACGTTTTTCTTAGAACCAGCTGACCTGCCTGGTCAAATCCACAGATATAGGGGTTGATTAAGCTTATATATAAAATATGTAAATATATATTAATAACGCTATTTTTTTTAGTGAGTCAAGTCCCGAAGTGCAGCTTAATAAACGGGTTTAGCCTTGTGGCGCCACCCATATTATCATCGATTGCTAAATATTATTTGATCAAGGTTAAATCTAATTATTTTTAAAAAAAAAGTTAACCATAAATATTTCATTTCATTCATTATTTATGTTATATATTTTATTAATAAAAATAAATGTATCCCGTTTCATCCATATCATACCTATAGTTATTAATATGTATAATTAGAATTATATAAATTACATATTTTAAATGATTATCTCTAAAGCCTATATAAAAAATATATAGAATTTCATTATTTGGTAAGAATATAATTCATTATTCGATTCGTCGAACGAATTTTATTTTCAAAAATTCTAATAATCGGTATACTACAACTTCTCAACTATCCGTTTTACTCTGGTTAAAAAATTTTTTTAAACATTCGAGTCGGACCGGACCAATCCGTTTTTATTTAGGGTCAGGTCTGGCCGGTTCAATATTTTAATTTTCTGGTCGGGTTAGACAAATTCTTTAAAACGGCTTGTGCATTTCTGACATGTTTGATTATTTTACAATATATCGATACATTTTATAGATGTCTATTCTATGCAGAGCTCGGAACCTGAATCCTCCATACAGGAATAATTTTGAAAAACCTGAACTAGAAGTCCTCTTTTAAAATTTTCTAAGAACCCAAAGCTAAAATCACTTTTAAAATTTTTAGTATTTATTAACAGTTTGGAACTGTTGGAACAGAAACTAAAACTTTTTTGGGACAATAAAATTGGGAATCTTCCATTCCTCTTATATATAATGAAAGAATTTTAAATCTTATGTCCATCCATCCCTATTATAAATAACGTACCCGACATTTTTAGTTTGGGTATATCTTTCTTTCATCCTCCCAACGATGATAAAAGTCATCAAGCCTTTATCACATGCTTATTCCATACTATCGCAATCTATAAGACAAAATCAAAATTATTGATTCCGAGAAATGAAAATGATCCGTTATAAAAAAAGCTATTTTTGATTGCCTTAAATTTCAAAAAACTTTTCAAATTACAGATGTTTATCCTCTAATGCATCACTCTAAATTATCTGTCTTTAAAAAAAAATTATACAACATTTTGAATTAAAAATTTTTTTGTAATATTTAATTTATTAAACTACTAAAATATAAAATAAATTGATTTGCAAAAAAAATATACTTTGTTTTATGGCTAGAAAACATTTTTTTGGCAATGAAGGATTTTGGAATCAAATCAAATTATCTGATGAATGTAAATGTGAAAATTTATAACACTAAATAAAACCTCGTTAAAGTAAAACCCCGGGTAGAATGAAATTTCATTATATCGAACCAAATTTCCAAATTCCATCAACCATTTTACTTATTTTTTTAAAAAAACCTTGATATTTAGGAAATATTTGTTAGGCCTTCTAAATAGACCTATTCAAAAACGAATAATGAATTATTCATATTTAATTCTTTTGAACGGATCGAATAATATTTTATTCGTAATTATACCAATTAAATAAATCGGATGGTAAACTATTCGATTCGTATTTGAATAGGCCTACATTTAAGCAAGTAACAAGTCTTTTAGCAAAGCGGTTTCCACGGCATATTTTTTAGCTATTTATTTATGTATTTCCAAACAAAGGAAGGATAATACATTTGACGCGTTAAATCTTGTTGCCCGACTACAAGTTTTTTTTTTAAAATTATTATCCTACTTTGTTTGGAAGGAGCCTTATAGTCCTCACAAGTTGAGCGTTTAAAACGCAAATAATGCATTTCAAATGGTATCATGCAAATTGGTCAAATTACCTCTGGATGTTAGAAACCATTCAAACTCGAAATGCTTTACTTTTTTAATAATTTTTGTTCACACATTTTGCACAGTGATTGAACATAGTTGTAAAACTATTAAGTTTCAATTCAGTAAAAATAAAATTTAAATGTTGCAAATCAATACCAAATAAAATTTTCGTTTTAAGCGGGTATTGGTTCTTTTCACTATCTTTTTAACGCTCATAAGCATAAAGTTAGCCTTCGTGTGCGCACAGATAATTGCAGTCTGCCCAAAAATTGATGAATGATTATTATCGTTTTTAATTAACCTCCATATATATTTTACCCAGTTTAATAGGCATGAGAAGAATCAAGCATAGTTCTATTATTTTTAACAACAGGAAAGGGCGATGCGCTTAAAGAATGACTATTTTTATTGATTTTGTTGTTTTTATTTTCTTTATTCCCGACTATAAAACTAAATAAAATGTTTTGCATTCATTTTATATATTCGAATTATCATTTGAATGTGTAAAATCTTTATGAATTTTAAAATTTTGAAGTTCTATTTACTTTGGACTAGCTGAAATGAGTGCGATTCGATTTTGTCTTTAATTAGTTTTGACATGATTTTTTGGCTGGCTAAAAAAATCAAATATATTATTTTGAACAAACCGACATTAAAAATTTTTTTAATTGTGAATCGGGCTCGAGATAGTTAAATTTTAAAATTGTCAAAATTATATTATATTATTTATATTAATTTTACCAGACTTGCGAAAGAGAGAGGATTAGAAGGGCGGGAGGATTCGTTACTCTTAGTCAAGCTGGCATTTGGAGGCTGAATGGAATATTGTCGGTGTCCAGGGGTTTCGGTGACCTGTCTCTCAAACGATATAACAATGTTATCACGGCTAAACCGGATATTCACATTTATCCCATGCTCAAATCATTTGGTTAAAAATTGATAATTAATTACCATTGAAATTTATAGTTAATGATTTCTCATCGCATAATGTTCCAAACTATCTTTTTATTTTGAAATTAAGGTGGGGCTTACATTCTCTTATCAGGGGTTGTTCTCCAACATTGAAATAACGCGTGTGAGGCCAACAGAGATTTAAATGGGTAACCCCTTCATTTTTTGAGTTATCTTAAAACAGCACACCTCAGTCTCGGTTTTTTCTTAACTTTGGAGAAAGCATAAACATACTAAACTCACCTCTATGCCTGAGGGATTTTATTTTGCTAGAACCTATAGATCTGCAGATGGAGCCGAATTATCTGATTACCTAACTATAAGAATCGATCCCAATTTCCCACCAAGCCCCGATATTTAAAATATCGTTTTACGGCCCAGTGTGAAATTGATCGAAATGGTAGTTGGAACCTTATAATAATCGAGCTAAGAAATCACATAATATATATATCTACATTTTTTATTTAAAAAAAACGATATGATAATAAACTCAGGGAAATTACTAATCTAAATAAATTACATGATAATAACTTTTATTTTCGAATACATTATAATTTAAAAACTTGTTTTTTATTACCACTTAATATTTCAGTTATTGGACCTTTTATCTATATTAATGATAATATAATTAATTTAATATATCAAATCTATCATAGATTGACACTACAAGATAAATTATCAGTTATTCAAAAGTGACATTTTAAGAGTATACAAAATGATCTAGATTCTTTTAAAATATATTCTATTATGAATATAATTAGATCCAATTTTATTTTCATAACTATTAAAACTTTAACATAAAATCTCATGTAGAAAGGATAATCTGATACCCTTAATTTATAAATCATAGAGGCTTACATACCCTTTATTAAAGATAAAATTAATAAATTATTTCAAAAGATAATTAAATATTAGTATATAATTATTACCTAAATTTATAATTTTTTCAGATAAGTTAAAGGTTTGTAACTTCTGCTTTCGTATTTAACATTGTCGCCTTCTATTGTTTTGTCTTTAAAAAATTTTAAAGTTACATTTTGTTAAAATAGTGCGCGGTAAAAAAAAAGGAGAGAAAGGAAAGTTCTTAGAAATAATAGGTGGAAAAAGTAGCAACCCAACGAAAAGATATTTAAAAAATTCAATGATGAAAAATAAATTGATATTATATTTGATTTGAATTAATTGCTGATAAAAATACTTTACTAATACTTGCAATAGAAAGTTTCATTTTATAGATAACATTTAATTTCTTAAAAAATATTGTCTAATTCTGTCATTCTTTAATGTAAAGTCTAGAATTTTAAATTAATCCAAATTTCAAGAAGTTTTATCGAAGCTTATTAATTTTACGAATATTTGGTTCCCGCAAAGGGATTTTATTCTTCAACAAGACAATCCATGTCATACATTAAAATCGACCAAATTTTTTTCATCAACGGGTTACTTTACTGAAATGGCCTGCGTCTAGCCCCGATTAATACAATAAAAAATGCCTGAGCTTTTTTTATATGAATCTTAAAATGGACCTAGAAATAAATGCGATTTTATGAATGGGTCTTCATTTGAGGAATTTTCCAAAAATGTTTTAAGAGAATGAAAGGTACTCAGCCTAAAATAATTAAATCAGTCGTTAGATTTATAAGACGTAACCAAACTATTAGAGTACTATTTTGATTTTTTCTAACATGTTGTTCATTTTGATTTTAATAATACTTTTTTAACGCATCATATCTGATTTTTGATTAATATCCATAAAACCAACATTTTTTTGAATTTTTTTATACCAAACTATATTCATATAATTATTATAATAAATAAATCGAAGTATTTTAAATGTGGTAATTGTTAAAAAAATTATCTTCCAAATTTTTTCCAATTAATATATTATAAAAACTCTTATCTTTTAAAAAAAAAAGTAAGTAAATATTTTTGATTTCTTCTTAAGATATTTTTTGTACATTAAAATTACAAAAGATTTTGGCATTTTTAGTTAAAATTTGATCAAATATCTCAAAAAAAATTTGAGTAATTTTTCTAACTAGCAGATAACTTTAAAATGTACAGCTTAACCGCTTATAACGTTCCCGTTTATTGCATATACTATTATCCTATTCTTATCACAGTCTGGGTCCCAGAAATCTTCCTTTTAACGTTATAAATTTTTGGTCAATTTGAACCCTACCTCATTGCCGAATATTTTTAATAAAATTTGATCAAATATCTCAAAAAAAATTTGAGTAATTTTTCTAACTAGCAGATAACTTTAAAATGTACAGCTTAACCGCTTATAACGTTCCCGTTTATTGCATATACTATTATCCTATTCTTATCACAGTCTGGGTCCCAGAAATCTTCCTTTTAACGTTATAAATTTTTGGTCAATTTGAACCCTACCTCATTGCCGAATATTTTTAATTGTGCAATTTATTTTGGCCAAAAATTGATCGTTAGGATGGTTTAAGCCGATTATTCTCTAAAAAAATGAATAAATTTACTCATTCGTATAGTTTATTAATATAAATTAAATTTTAAGTAGATTAAAAAAAATAAAGAGATTATGAAACCAATAATATGCTTAAACTTTCATTTTCTTTAAAAAATGGCAGTAGCTTTAATCATTATGAATATAGATGAGTATTGAAATGTGTGAATTTATTGCTTGAACGCAACGCCGTCACTAAATTATTGTAATATACAGTGAAACTCGTATTTTACCATCTATAAATTTTAACTCGTAAAACTTAATCATTTCAAACCTGATATGATACAGTTTTCATTTTAAACATATTTTTTATTTAAAATTATATTCGTTAAATTTTGAAATGGGATTTTACAGATACACATTTTTATTTTAACATTCTTCGTTCCCTTTAGGAACCTTGAATTATGTTCGAAAAAATACGAAGATCACGAATAATAAAACCATTCGATTTGATTAGTCGAATATTCGATTCGAAAATTAAATTCTTTAAAAATATTTTCACACGTGAAAAAGTAGATTATATGAAAAGCTATAAAATATGATATGGAAATGAAATAAAAAATAAATAGTTATTTGTTAAATACTTGCAAAAAATTTCGAAACGGCTATTATTTGGCGATACCAAAAAAGGATCGAAGTTATTTATTTTTTCGGGTTAGGTGTTTCTCTAATAGCACTATTTTTTTTCATTGGACGAAAACTATCTTTATTTATTCGAATCCCTAGAAACGTAATCGATTTTTAACAAATTTTTTTTTACAAACACTCTAAATATATTTTTTATTCTCTATTTATTTATTACAAAAAATGATAAGAAAATTAATAGTAATAATTTCTCACCTCCTGGTTTTTTTTATTAAAACTTTTATTACTTTTTGAATACAATTTTTATAATTGGGATATTTCAATCAAGCAAAAAGCTATAAAATAGGAAAATATATAATATTTTTTCGGGACACGGGCCGGATTTTTATTGATATTACTTGGATTGACCCCGCAGTACTATAAATCAATTAACTTTACTTTGTTGAAAATCGACGTCTTTAGAATGCCGAATGAGGTCACTTTTGTTTTCGATACCAAATAGTCCTTCTTTTTTGAGCTTTACTCTAACTTATATCTCCGTAAATTTCCTCTTAGTGATCGTCATATGCACGTGGATTTTCGGCAGGCTTAAGTGCAGGAGATGTGTTTTTTGGATTTCCCAATTCATGTTCCATAAATACATTTATTATTCGAATACGATTGAAATCCTATTCTTCCGTTTAAAGTGTTCGACGAAGATAAGATTTCTGGGTCATGATCAAATTAATATGATTCAAACTGTTATGGTTGCATTATCTCAAGCTCAATTATTTTAGGCCAGTGTATTTTAATTTTATTAAATTATGATTTTAATTGGTTTCTACGGAGATGTTTGTGTTTTAGGTTACGTCTTTTGCAGAAGACACATTTTTTAATGAGCGTAAAAAAGTGCGAAATATTGTCTAAGATAATCATGTCTATTTTATATTGTTTATAAAGATTTGAGAAAATAAGGCGAATATACGCATTTTCAATATGTTTAGAATTTCGATTATTGATATTACATAAAAGATATATTTGCCAAAATGTAAAAAAAGAATCGTTTTTTTTTCTTGGTGTATTTTTGAGAAAAATAAAATTCTATTGACGAAGCATAACACAATCTGCGTTCCTTACAATAAATAATGAAATTTCCTGTATTATAGCATAAATTATATGGAAATATTAAGGCCGGGTAATTTAATAACTCATGATGCAAAGATATTAATTGGAACATAGTGAATTCACTTTATTACAAATAATACATCATTTTCCTTGTTTAATTTAATTTATTAATAAACTATTATTTACTTTAATTAAGTGAGATTCAATCGACTATAACTTATGATTTCGTGATTAGATTAAAAACGGTGGATTGCAATTAAAAGTAAAATGAGAAAATTATATTTCATTGCATACTGTTTATTGATTTTGAGAATATAAGACATGAATGGTAATTTAATTTGATCTTATATCCTTTTCCATTCTTATTTTAATATTATTATGGTTTTTAAAAAGGGAAAATCCCTGAATTAAATCTTATTAAAATGGTAAGTTGAATTTAAGGTATATAGTAAAAATATAATTTTTGAATTTATCGTTATTTATATATGCAAATAAAAATATTTTTTTAGTCAATAATTTATTCTCCCCATTCTGCATTTATATTAAGCTTCTAGCAATAAGGACATATATACTTTTTAGAGGAAAATTCATAAATTTTTTTTAAAAAAAACTTACATATAATATTAATTAATTTACATTCTTTTAATGATGATATTTCGCTTTGTTTTTTTTTCAAACAAAAAGTGATTCTAAAAAAACACAGTGTCTTCTTGCCAACTTATTATGAGAACGGATAATAGGTCACCACTAAAAAAGCTTTAAATTAATGCCATGTACTAACCTTATTTTCTTTTCTGCATTAAAACAGGCTCTTCAGACACATTAAAATTGAAGGATCACGACTCGTCATCGTCTTACACCAAATACAACTCAGATGAAGTTAGACTTCAGCCAGATTTTTTGGTTCTAGCCTCCGACGGCTTATGGAACAGTATGGGTAACGTCGAAGTCACTCATTTCTTAATTTCTTCTTCGCCTCATTCTAGCCGTCAGAATCCTAATGAATCTTCTTCCATTCATAAATCTGTATTGAATCATAGTATAGGCGCTATTCCACCTTGCGAAGAACCAGACTTTGGGGCTAGAGCTCTGGCCCTTAAAGCGCTTAAGTTGGGTAGTACGGATAACGTAACCGTTTTGATAGTCAAATTCAAGCCCCCTTTGTCTAATGTAGTCAACCCTAATAATATCGACGCAAAAGCTAGGAGTAACAAGTTTACGATGAAACCTTATGATTACCTTAAAACTACCCTTCAGCGAGATACCGATAAACATGGCGAGGTTGATAAAAATCACGCTTATCTGAACAATTTTTCGGAAACCTCACCATCACAGCTAGAAAATGGGGCCGAGGGTGGACGGGTTAGTATAAAAATACGTGATATTGGCGATTTCGAAAGATCCCCTCCGTTTATTTATCATCACCCTAGGAGGTCTAATTCTAACCACAGCTTCTCCGAAAATACCAACAACGCCTCTAACATAAATCTGTTAGATAAAACTATCATCGATCAACCCTCTCTACCAGAATCCAACATGGTAAATAAGAGTTACTTGGATACCAAAAGGCGCCCCCTCTTGATATCTGGGCGCAGCTTTACTCCTCCCCTCATTTACAACCCGAACAGGACTATAGTCGGTGGGAGGTCAGTGGTGGATAATAGTGATATCAACCGATTGAAGTACACGAAACAAGGCTCAGTTGTCATACCGGTTCATTATACCTCCACCAGACCAGTCAATATAACGACGACAGGAGCGAATAATATCCTGGATCGCGATAGACTCGATAGGAGTTTAAATAAACCCAGTTACGGCGAGAACCCAAATAGCAAACATAATATCCCCAACGAGATGAAACGTGATTTTCGTGATGCTAGCGCTGGTGTAAAGACCTGTACTAGTCATATCAATTATCAAAATTCTTCCCTTATATAAATTAATTATTTCTTCATGCAAAAAAAAAACCGAAACCTTATATTCTAGTCTGATTAAAATTTAAACCATATTTTATAATTTTTATAAATTCAAAATTGTTTGACAGGTTGATCAATGCAATGCACTTAAAATTTTATTTATATTTAAAAAAGGATAAAGAATAGATATTATTTATAAATTTATTTTATATTTATTATTTATATATGGAATTTATAAAAAAATATATTTATATAAAGTCGACCTTATTTACATCATAATATTACAATTAATGGTTAATAGCGTATTTTACGTTCTCTCGGTGTTATCCCTCACTCCATTGATAAGAGAATATATTTTTTATATTAAAACTCTAGCACACAATTCTCTCCTACCTAGCTAAGGCAGCTAACGCCGAGAGGACGTTCGTCATTTACCTGATTAATAACTTATTTATTTCTTTATCGAATATATAACATAATTTTTTTTTATAAAGCAACGCATAATTTTTATAGCCTAAACGTTTTATTTATTTTTTGGCAAATTTTAGTTTTTTTAAAAAAATATAGATAAGTTTATCAAAATTATTTATTATTTCAGCTTCTTTTTATTAGCTATATTTTATGTATATTTTGTTAATTAGATAATTATTAGATTTATAATTCACATATTATATACAAAATTTTATTTTAAATTTATAAATTACATCCACGCTTACTTCCCAATTTCTCCTCGTATTTTTATATATTTGTTATAATAAAACTTTTATTTTATTTAAATATAAAAGATTTTCTTAAATGTTAAAATTAATTCAGCAAAATTTTTCCTTATTATGAAAGGCAGTAGCGTTACTAGGAAGGGGCTTTTGCGAGATTAAACCCCGTTAAAATTTTAGAGAGCTCTTAGTAGTTTTTTTTTGAAAGTAATACATTTTGAACCAAAGAAAAAATTATTTTTAATTATTATATTTTAGATATTTTTTGTGACAACATTGATAGCCCAGAAAATCGCTAAATAATTTATTGTTTTAAAAATAAACTCCTGAACTCTATTTTAGGCTTATTAAGCAGTAATAAACATTCAATAAATTAGGGCTGGCCAAAATCAGAACTTTATTTTTTTTTAAATCTATTATTTGATTAATTTTTTTTCATTCATATCAGAGACCTGCTGATATATCTAAAAAAAATAGATACCATTAAAAATATATCTAGATACAAGCATCATATTTTTGTAACTAGACACTTTAACAACTCTATAATTTACATTTTAACTAACTGTTATATTATTTTAATTAAATTAATATTTTTATTAGAATTAATATTTAAAACGGCATTATCTTAAACAAAATATAGAATACATATTTATTAAACGGCAGAAATAATTAGAGAATTTAAATATATTTATTAACAATAAAATAATTTAAGGATTGACGCGACATATATAAATTTAGCGATTAATTAAAACATGGAAAAAATATTAAAATAAAATTTTATTTAATAATTATTAAAATACAAACAAAAATAATTGATTTAACAGTGATCCTGTCTAACGTAATGAATGTGGGTCAAGTTCAGAGATATAACGGTTCAAAAAAATCATTGGTTTGGTTTGAACCTTTACTTTTCTTAATATAAACTTATTACGGTTCTATAAATAATAACATCGTTATTTAATCATGCCAACCTTACTTTAAATCCTTATATTATCACAATAAATTGAACTTGATTAAAATATATTTATAAGTCTTATTATTATATTTGTCTCCTTATTCAGATTGGGTTGGAAAGGAAATGAATGTTAAATCAATTACTACTGGTAAAACACTATCAGAAAAAATTGTTTATAGACAACATGGGGCCTGTCTAATCAATTATTTAGAAATGTTTTGAATAATATTCGTCAATTTTTATACCATCGGCAAAACCAACACTTTAAAAATTGTTTATAGACAACGTGGCGTGGCTAGAGTCCTATAAGAACTGTTCGAACCTCGACTCTTGGACTCAGATATTAAAGATTTACTCGAGCTCGGACTGTAAGAGACAGACCACCTAAACATTAGAAATATCCTCAGTAATCATTTTGCTTCAGTTAATTGTCAATCAGAACCACATGTCATTTTTTATCTAACACATTTCGCTTATTCATTTATGTAATTTTAACTTACCAAATTAACAATTAGCTGTGATTGTGACTAGTTAAAACTACCTACGCACATTATATTCTATAATGTCAAATAAAATATACATTATATTCAATATTTAGCCAATATAAAATCTAGAATATTAATCTGTTAGAAATATTTTCATTCGATAATTTTTGTCTAAGATCTAATCAATTAAATTGTTTCAGATTTTTATATTTATAAAATTGTTTATAGAATGGATCCAAATTTAAAAATAATTTGTAAAAAGATAGATTATAACTAGGGATCCAAACCGAACCTGAACCGTCAAATCGCTAAAAGCTGTATTTTTTATCGAACCTAAACCGCTAAAAAAATTTCTAGCCGAACCTGAACCGAACCGCTAAAATGCCTCTGAACCGGTTCCAACCTCATGATTTTATGCTTATAAAATAATATGTAAGTTATTATTAGTTTATTTTTAAAAAATCAATTATTTTAAAGATTATTATCACATTTGATTGATAAGTGTCGGTCATAATTTTATAAATTTAGTATATTGTCATTTTACAACATTTTTTAAATATTTTAAGCTTATAAATTATAATGCTTAAAGAAAAATTAAATCCAAAATATTATTATAAATGCATCAAATCTGATATCATATCATATTGGCAGTGCCGGCTACCCAAGTTATTGTGGAAAGATGTTTTTCAACAATTAAATTTACTATCTCCTTATAGATGTAATTTGAGTGAAACAAATTTTGATAATATATTAATTGTGCGGCTTAATAAAAAAAAATTTAAGTAAAAAAAATAAAATATTGTTCATAATAAAATTAATCATTGATTTTTATATTTATAAATTAAATATTATTTTATAATGGGCAATTAATAAAAATGAAGTTTTATACATGTGTTTTTTAAATTAATGATAAAATAAAAAATATTTTTCCTATACATAATTCAAATGTAGGTTTGAATACAAGTGTTCAAACCGGTTTTTAGAGATTCGAACCGAACCAATATTTTAATTTTTACGAACTGAACCTGATTATAACTAAGAATTTGAGACCAAAAAAATGGAAAATCTGAAGTATGGAAGAAATTTTTATTTAATAAACATGGTGAAAAATTCAAAATTTTGTGAGGTGGGAATAAATTTGTGCCCAGGTCCGGACACGAAAGAAAAAATCACTTTTCGGAGCTCTAAGTGCGGCCTGCCTAAACATTTAAATTTATAAATAATATTTACGAATAATTAAATTTATTATTCGTCAATTTTTTTTTATTTGAAATTATCAAATTTGAAATCGAATATAAATAATTTTTGCCATAGTCTTAGGTTAGGTTAATCGTTCACGATGTCTCTGCTATTTGAGATGAATAATTTTCATATTATGCTATTTCCTAATTATATTTTAAAAAAGTTCTAAACTTTAGTAACTTAAAAATTATGAACATGTCCAAAATCTTCCATTAAAATTTTTTTCAAGTTTTGTAAATTTATAATTCCTACCAAATTATTTTTATACTTCATTTAATTTAAATACTTCCCATTTTGATTAATATAACTACCCATTTCTTATTATACTTTGAAAAATATAAATTAATTTATTCCTAACTTATTTTTTAGTGCTGTAAATATTTCTAAAAAAAATCGAATGCGTTCAAGGTTCATTGACAAAAATTGAATACGTTCAAGTTCGTTCAAAACTTTATTAACTTTTTTTAGAATTTAATATAAATACCATATATTGTTTAACACAATATGTAAGTCATGTTTAATATTAATAGTTTAAACTGAATAAAAAATATTTTTATTTAAAAAAAATTATTATTAATAGGCGTAGCCCCCATCCCTTCTAGATAAATCCTAGTTACGCCTATGTTTCCAGAATCAGATGATGAAATAACAACATCCATGCCTACGCTAATACAAAATATTGATAATATTTAGGAAAGAAATAGTGGCTGGTAAAAAAAATTCTAAAGTGATAAAGAATAGCTGATTAAAAAATAACCCTTTTTTCTTACTAAATTCTCATTATTTTTTTTTATTTTCAAATAAATAAAAATAGGAAATTTTCTAAAATTGAACGAACGTAAAAAACGAACGCGTTCATGTTCAAAGTTCGTCAAAATAAAAGGAACGCCGTCATTTTTTTTTCACGAACGCGTTCGTTTACAACATTACTATTCTATCGTAAAAATTTTACAACTTTATAAACTTTAAGCTAAAATTTATTAAATTTTTATGATTTCTCGAAAAATTAATAAACTTTCGTAAATTCAAAAAAAAAATGATTTACATTTATTTCTACATTAAAAATAGCTTATTTCTCTTTTTTGTTAGTTAAGAAAGTTTAATAATAGGAGCCTAATTTAGATTTTTTAACAAAAAGTATTACAAAAAATGTGTACAATTCAAATTTATTTTATACGCCTAAATATGTTTATAATTATAATTTTTTGTTTAAAAATGGGTAACTACCAAAATAAGATAAATATGTATGAGTATTTATTGAAAGATATCTTAACAGTTAACGATTTAAGGCAATATATTGGTATAGGATGATAGTTTAAAAAAATCAAAATTAGAAATAATTTATACAAAAATACTAATTATCACAATAATTATTATAGCGCACTTTGCATTTAAAATAACAAGATTTTCCTAAGCTATAAAAAAATAATTGGAATGTTTTATTATTTTATAAAAAAAAAGAAGCTTATGAAGGTAGGGAGGAGTATATTATCAATTAATAAGCGAGTAATAGTGCCCGTCATACTAACAGGCGATAATCGTATAATAAAAAAATGTCTAACAGGGGGGAGTATCATATGTGCTATTGTTATATTTTTTTTAAAAAAAAATAGATTACAAACGATTTACTTTTAAATAAATAGATAACTAAGATGCGCGACATTCTTGGATTAAAAACTAATTTAGACTACTCACTTATAATATGTCTTTTACTTGAACTTTGAATTACCCCTCAATCACAATTAAAGAAAATTATAAAATGTATGCTGTATTATTGTATTATCTGCCGCGAATCCGTGCTAATGAGAACGAGGGGTTACCCTGCATTCATAATTATCACGAATTCGCGGTGAAGTATATAAAATATGCTGTGAATGGGGTTACAGAGAAGCGTCGGAATTCGTAATATGATTTAGGTTAAATAAAATTAAACGTTTTAAAAGAGGATGCTGGGCTTTCTACGGTGTTCAAAAAAATGAAGGTGTTTCATTCCCTAACTATTTAACAATTTTACGATAGATTTTTTTTAAATAAAATTTTTTAGAATAAATAACATGTAATACGGTTTAAAAAAATGTTTTAAATGTGTTTCGGAATACTATATGAGGCTGCGTAAAATTTGGTTTCGATTTTCTTAAGATGAAGAGGACATATGGGAGGCTGTTCTGTATTCGTTTTTTATTTTTTGAAAAAAGTAAAATTTTATAGTAAAACATAATAAATATAAAAGATGCCAAATAGAATTTTAAAATATTTTTTGTAAAATGCCAATTATCCTCCGATTATGATACTGCCGATTTTATGTTTTAACAAATTTTTTAATTTTGTATTAAGTGGAAATATAATTAATTTATTTATAGATTTCAAATTAGAGAAATTTATAGACTATTGTAAAATTTAAGCCACATTTGTGTAATTTTTTGTCACTTTCACTTTTAAATTTTGTAAAATTAAAATATAAATGGATCAACCAGATCCTTAAGTCGAAAACCGTAAATCGTGAAGTAGTAACAATTATAAGATAAAGTCGCATTTTATCATAGATTGAACAGAGACTAATATTACCAATCAGCTTAAATTTTTAATTATTTTGCTTTCCCTAATTTTAACTAAATTTTCTTGTTGTTTTCAACGTTTTTATATAATTAGCCTATGTTAATAGCTCCATTTGAGATGAAAAAAGGTTAACCAGAAAAATATTGCTTAACGAAATTTCGCTAATAGTGTCCAAACCTTTGTACCATCTACAAGCACTTCAGGCTTGATTAATATTTTTCGGTATACTAAGTTTTAAAAATCGGCTCAAGCGATTTCTCATCACTATCTGTTACGACTGGATAATGCATCAATCATGCTATGATTCAGAAAATCATACATCTCTAATAATAAATCTTGCGTTAAATAAGGGAAAATGGCAAATTATTTTTTCGTTAATGTCTATATAACAAGCATTACAATAAAAATATATATTAGTATTCCGCTTATAGTGGGGAAATATCTTAAAAGATTTCTGAGGCCAAATAAAAATGATAAAGGAGGGAAAACATTTTAAAACTAAAAATAAAATATCTATAGGAAAAGTTAGTAAATAGTAAAAAAAATAATGATTTAACAAGAATTTCTTCAATTCATTTAAAATTGACTTATACGCTAATTTAGTCAAACCTTCAAATAAATATTTTTTAATTTTATTAAATAGTATTTTATTTGTAAAAAAAAAATAATGTATTAAACGAAAAAATTACTTTTTGAATTTTGGATATAGAGGTGAAAATTGATTAATGAGTAAAGGGGGATTTTTCCATTCGTATATATCCATGAGGTATGCGTGAAGCGCGGCTAAAAATAATTGAAAAGAAATATATAAATAAATATTTTTTAAATAACCGTTGCCAGTACTGACAAATATCGTGAGTAACGGCCCGTCATTCTTTGACAGACAAGCATAAAAAAATTTTAAAAATCGATATCAAAAATCCCCGCTGAACAAAGTGAAACATTTCTAATATGATCAGCAATTTTTTTTAAACTCCAAGAAATAATCATATAAAATAACTCACCCTAAAAAGCGGTAAAATCCATTCAAAAAAAATATAAGTCTGAGCTCATTTTATAATTTTTTAATCTTTGTTATAATTTATCAATTATTTAATATAAATATTTTTTCATTTAAAATGAAACCTTTGATCCTTTGGGTGGATCCTAGCCTGCTTTCACAGCCGGGATCGTAATACCCGCTCCATTTATTACAGCTCATCGCATCTTTTCCTCCTACCTTGAGGCCCTCGAACCTCCTCCTCCCTTCTTTCAAGAAACCGTGAGTTAATGCTCGGTCAGCCGATATCCTATGGTCTGGGTCGAAAGACAAAGTTCGCAATAACAGGTGCAAGGCTTCGGGGGTCAACGGAACTCGGCGAGGATCCGCTTTGGCATCCTTACAGTGCGTATCATGATTTTTCGAGAATGTTTGCGAGCAACCATTCGTAGAATAACTATGAATCTGTTTGAAAGCATTGGGCGAACTATTGTTAGAGTCTGAACAGGTGGTGTGATGTAAAGAGAGGAGTGGGTCGAGACAAGGAAGCTTAAGAAGGGATGAGGGGTGAAGTATGTGGGCTCTAGCGGCAGGGCAGGCGTAACGAGTGGCGGAAGGTGGAGGAGTACCCAGGAGATCAGTGATCAATTCGAGCTTTGATTTTTTTCCCAATGTGGAATGACATTATTTTAAGTATTTATTAAGATTATAACTAGAAATAAAATAATGTATTTTTATTATTTAAATTGCGAGTACAGAAAAATATCGGCATTATCTGTCCCACACTTTAGACATTCCCAAAAATAAATATCACATCGATAAAAAATTATAATAAAAACAATATTATTTTAGAATATAAAATGTGTGGCTTATATCAACGCCAAACTACTTATATATTATTAAAACTTATTAAATCTAAACTAAAGAATTGCGCAAAATATAATTACAGAGCTTAATGTTATGGTGAGCTACACAGTGATGCCAAATTTAAAGGTTGTATGATAGATTATGCTATAGAAATACAAAAATGGGATGGTTCAAAATATGAGGCCTATTCAAAAACGAATGGAATAATGAATTATTTGTATTTGATTGTTTTGAAAGAACTTAATAATTTTTCGTAATTATATAAATCGAATAAGAAAAGTATTTTCACTAGTATTCGATTCGTTTTAAAATTAGTCCAACTAAACAAAGATTGCCTAATTAACACTAGTAGGTGTGCCAGATTTTTTACCGATTAGATATTACTAAAATAACCGATCCATTCCGATCCGATATTTATATTGAATGTTATTTTATCTTCTATCTTTGAATCATCTCATAAAAATATAAATATTTCATATAAATAAAACCAACTAACTTCCACGAATCAATAAGTGTATTTAGATTTTTCCATTCTCCAAAAGTTAATTATCTCATTTAAAATACTGCAATATTTATGGGCGAATATAGTGTTGTTAAACAGCTCCATTTAGCCGATTGTGGCCAAAATCTTAAGCTAACCGTTTTTAAAAATTAGCGAAATCGGGACGTTTAACAACACTAGCTAAATGCAACTCGTTAGACATTTTAAAATATTTTTTTTGATGCAAATAATATAGCAAAAATGGTGTAAAATTTTCAACTATTTTTTTTTAAACATTACAACAAATAAATAAAAATTTAATTTACTTGTTCGATAGGTGACCCGGATTCGAAAAGAATTTTTCTGGTAAACATCTCGGCCATTATACAACCCACGGACCATATATCCACACCCCAATTGTAGTAGGTAGCCCCCATTAAGAGTTCTGGCGCTCTGTAATATTGAGTCACAACTTCTGTCGTCATGTATAAATTTCGTTTCGAAGTTTCGTCCTGGTCCGGTAAAGACCTGGCCAGGCCAAAATCGCAAATCTACGAATAAAAAAAAAGAAGGTCGTTTAAAATTATTTTGAGATTACATTTTGAATCCAGCTAAATGGATATATAAAGGCGCAAATGAAATTTAAAAAATTATTAATATTTAGAAGTAAAACTTCGATAATATAACCACTTGGGGAGAGGGGGGGGCATGCAATGGAAGTGAAGATGTTGGTCAATATAAATACAGTTTATAAGTAAATCGAATTTAGATGGTTAGAAACCGGGTCAAAGTGGCTATGATTGTAAAAAAATGGGCACATCGTCGATGATAAAAAATAAATCATTTGAAAGAAATAATAAATAAATAAACATAATAAATAAATAAATAGTAATACTTTGAGTAAACAATTGGAATTAACTAATAAATTACCAGGCTTTATGTCTCTATGCATAATTTTGACAGAATGTAAATATTTTAAACCTATATTAGTTTTTGAAAGAAAGAAAAAAAATGAAATGTTTAAAAATATATAATTTTCAAAAATTATAACCTCTCAATATTTGATAAAGAAAAAGCTTGATGTGGTTTATAGTTAAAATTTGGGATGAACTCATAATTTTGTGTAAATCGGTTTGCATTAATTCCATGAGTATATATCTAAAAAATAAGATTTTAAAAACATTTATAATTTTGGCAAGTGTTAAACATGACTAGTATTGTCGAAATCTCAATTAGGTGGGTTTTAAAACGGTAAAATCAAGATTTTAGCCAAAAAATAGGGATGTACCGATATTTTATATCGGATCGGGCCGATATTTCGCTCATTTTAAAATATCGGTTATCGGCAAATATTATAAAATTTTCCGATCCGATATAAAATGGCGCTTTTAACAAAATTTAAAAAAAATTATATCTAAAAAACCATTTATTTTTATAAATAAAATCGAAATACATTTTTATGTTTAATTTTTTTAATAGAAATAATTAGTTAATAAACATTCTGCAATATAGTTATTTTTTTTCGCATTCTGTTTAAAAAAGTGTTCATTAATCTCTTCAGTATCTGTTTTTAGTGATGCTAGTGATATTAACAGTCCCCATCACCGCCGACATATCTCTGATATAAAAAGAAATCTTCGATATATTAATTTTAAATATTAATTTCAAATTTCATAATATATTTTTTTATTACTAATTATGTAAATAGATTAATGTTATTACTTATTATATAAATAATAGCAATTGAATTGAATATAAACTATAACTGACCATTATAATATATTTAAATGACATATGTTATGGTATAGTAAAATTATAGATGTTGTACTGATAAAAAGTATATTAAAAATTAAACCCGGTATCTTTGCAGAATACAAAATTAGATATGATATCGGATCGGTTATCGGCTGATATCAATTTAATATCTGAAATATCGGATCGGATCGGCCTCCAAAAAGTGGTATCGGTACATCCCTATCAAAAAATATTACTAAAGCGCTCAAAATTTCGCATATCGATGGCAGAAAAGTTTAGCCCTCTTTTGAACAAATTTTAAGGCTAAAAATATATTTTTTTTGGCTAAAATTTGGATTTTAGCTGTTATTTAGTGCCCAAATTAAGGTTGACTTACTATAATGTATTACGAAATATTTTTTTGATTTAATAGATTTTATAATATAAACACCCCTCAAACTCTACTAGGCCATATGGGGGTTTATATAATCAAGCTCTAGTCTTTAATAACGTTTAACATAGGTAATATAAATTTTTTTTAAACTTACATTTCCTGAAAATATTCGAGTCGTGAAGGGAGTAAAAATTCCTGCGCTGATAATATCTGTAATCGATTTAGTAAGACAAAATTAACTATATTATATCTTTTATAAGTTATAATATATTTTTTCCTGCCCAGATATAAGAATCATTATAATAATTAAACGCAAAAATGTCCTGAGGAAAAAGAATCCGGGACAGAAATACCACAATTTTCATAAAATATTATAAAATCTAGAAATAGATATTTTATTGTTAGGGCTACTCAATTTTTTATGAGATATATAAATAAATTGGGGTATTTTTGTTCGGTGCCTTTTTTGTCCTACAATTAGTCCTTCTGCATTATATATTTTAAGTATAATATAGATTATATAAATAATTTTTTTTTAATTTAAATCAAATATCAAAATGATCACATTCAATAGCGTTATTGTATTTAATATATTTTCCTAATAATCTTCCAGGAGCAAGAATGGTATTCAGTAAACAAAAATTGATTACAAATTACTTTTAAAAAAGAGTTTTTAGCTAAGGAACTTTTTGAAACACTAGCGTTAGTTTAATAAATTTATATTATTTAAGAGGTTTTATATACTCAGTTCATTTATTTGAGTTGTGTCCAAATCTGATTTACTCTAAACAAATAATAATTCATATTTTTTCTAACATCCTTTATTTTAATCCAACTGTTAAAAACAAGTAATATTTCTATTCATTGCAGCATCCTTTAATTTATTTATATATATATAATTCCATTAAATAAAAATCCGTATATTGAAAAATTAGTAATCCACGAGAGCAATTTATTTAGACAAATGAAAAACCGTGATCGTAAAAAAAAATTATTTTTTTTTCCGAAAAGAAAAATTATATATTTTCAAATGTCCATAAATGTCAATTACGAATTGACAGATGCTACAATTACTAGTATAATTTTTTTTTTACTATTAACGTATTGACTATTAAGATAATTATCCAAGGCTATTTACCGTTTTTCAATATTTATTGAGAACTTAATATACTACGATTGTGTATAAAGAGGAGACTATATAGGTTTTATAAAAATTTCAAGAATGGAATCATCGGTGATGGTATGCATCATTTATAATTATAATTATTTAGGAAACGTTAAGCCATAGCTATCAAAAAAATGGTTATAGCTGTAGTACCCTAGGTATAGTAGTCATCAAATTAATGCCCAACCTTGATCGGGTAAAATTTTTTTAATTTTTTTTACATTTTCGTGTTTAAGGGTATTGAGCATTTTAATTTCCCTGAAAGTCCTCAAAGCGGATATATAATTTTGAAAAACGTTCGACAGTTTCTTGAGAGCAATTTTTTGGCTGTTTCTAGGATCAGTAACGGACCTTGATTTTTTTATAATATATATATAAATATAATCAATATTATGATGGATTTGCCTTCATCTTGATGTGACCATATAAAAATTAAAATTTAGATAAGCATTCAATTTTCTTTGGTATGTAAATGATGTCCCAAAAATTATTGACTTATTATAAGGGAAGGTCTTTCTTTTTCGGTTATAAATTTTTTACATTAAATAATACGTTCCAGGAGTAAATATCATATATTCATAATGGTAATCGAAAAAAACCATAGACTAGAGATCTGAAAAGCCCGACTTGGTAAGAATTTTTGCGAAAATCGCCAAGCTCGGTTGGATAAAAATTGGGATATTTTTGTCGAGTTCATTTTGCCCCATTAGCCAAAAAAAGGAAATTATAATATAATTTTTTCTTAAATAATATTTTAATGCTTATAAACCACAAAACAAAAAATTTCATATCTTTTTTACAAATAAAATTTGAAAAATTTATGTACCTTTTTTAATATCTCAATCAATCATTATTATATTGCATACCATATAATAGCTTAAAATGACTTTTTTAAATACCATTTAAAAATTTTTTTATAAGTTCATATCATATACCACGTCATCAAAATTATAAAATACTTTATTTGGTTTATAGCGTTTTTTTTTAAAGTTCACATAATGTCCTTTTACAATATAAGGACAACTAAAAAAGCTATAAAATTTATGACTTGAAGGCCCGGATTAAAGTCCAACAGGTGTATCCTGAGCCGGACGGTGAAATTGGTACCTATGCGGGTTTGTGATATTTATATTTGAACAATATTAAAGTTTTGATCAACGATAAGCATTTTTAATTTGGAATTTAACATGGACCGACTTTAAAAGGGGGATCAAAATAAGGAAGTGGTTACCATGATGCGCGCACATTGAGGGATGGGTTGGAAATCAGTGTATATAATAATATTTAAAAAACAAATCTAAAACTTCTCGTCGATACAGTTATATATACCATTACTATTTTAAAAGTTAACCATTATTTATTATTTTAAATTGATAGAGGTAAAATATCAAAAAATGGAAATTAAAACTGGACCCTAGTTCGTTAGATAAATAGAATGTGGTTTTTAAAATAAAAAAATATATACAAGAAATAGTAAATCTTTAAGTGTAAGTCAAAATCTATATATTAAAAAAAGAAAAAAAAGGTGTCCTAATGCTTTTCTGAATTGAAGTCTATTGAGAATTAGCCCTATTCCTCCAAGTATAGGAGTAAAAAAGAATTCATTCTATATTATAAATTTATAGCGATAGGAAAAAACGTTTATAAGGAGGGCCTTTAGAAAAATCCTAAGGTTGCGCCCTGACTTATTTATGTTCTTAAGAAAAGCAGCCTGGATATCATTTTGTAAATTTTTTTAATAATAGATTTTGACATAAGGTAGAGGATATCTTTAAAATACGCGTAAATGGGAATGGGCACTTATTCCAATTTTTATTAATATATTTTCCTTCTTTTTATTCCCAATAAAGAGAGATGACGAGATAGGACGCAGCTTACCGCTAATGTATCGAAGAACAAACTAATGGTAGTTTTGGCACTTATTTCATATAATTAAAAAATGTCCTTCATTTGAACACTCCTTGAGTTGAGCTGTTATCGGAAATTTTAACTAAGTTATAAGAGGATACTGAGGCTATCTCCAAGGTCATAAATGTATTATTCAGTGTCAAAACTCAATTGTTGAAAATTGATCGCTACTCTAAATTTATATGCGCGGGAAGAAATTGTATTAGAAATCTGAATAAAAATAAAATTCGCGAGCGATGGTTAAAAAAAATCTTGTAGAATAGTTGGCCCGATTGTTTGATAAATGGAATTAGCTAATATATCTCAAAATATTTATTTTAATGCTATTCATTAAATTTAAATATTCGGCAATAACTTAGATAATTTAAATGATGCTTATTCTACATTTATTATGAAATCAGATATGAAAATGAAATATTTCCCACCTAATTTCTTTTAAAAGTTTATTTTATAATATGTGAAAATCAGGCAAAATAAGGGGGAGAGTCCCGGCCATTGCATTTTATTTGATAATTTTAAGTCCCGCGGTTACAGTGAATTTTAGGAATTATGTTCATATTTTTTAACTTACTAACAAAAAATATATATTAGGAGGAGGGGGTAAGTAAAATCATAAATAAGAGTTAAAGTTCTTAGTGTAACCAGGTGCGAATTAATGTTCTCAAATTATAAAATAGAAAATAATATTCAATTTCTAACTAAAATATATTTTAAAAAAAATATGAAACAAATGTGTAGGGTATTGTTATAAATAAAAGGTAATATTTTACTCATTATTTATTATATTATACATGGTAATGGAAAAAAGATGACAATGGCAATTATAAATTTTTTTAAAAAAATTTAATTTTCGTTACATTTAAAAAAATATATATTAAAGGTTAACAACAACGAAATTCGCACTATAAATAAGCAAAAAATGGAAGGGGAATTTACCTATCAATATAAAATAAATGTGTTAACTTACAATATAGTAATTAGAAAGCTTTTTAAAAATAAAATTTCTTTTTTGGGATAGAAAGTCAATAACATAATTTCATTCACCTGAGTATGTTAGAAAATATCTTATTCTTAAGGGACATATTTAAAATTTTTTGAGATAAAACAATATATAAATAAAATAATTAATATTAATAAAAAAAAATTCTATGTTATATATTATATTTTATATACTAATAACAATAAAATAAATATGACGAAATTTATATAATTCTTTTTTTTTATTATAAGCAATTAAATCTTGCAAAAATTAGTATGAAACGAATATTAGATTATTCAATATTACTCAATTCGCATTAGTTTCCGAATGAGCCTATTTGCGATAACCCCTCTTTGGCAAACTCGAGGCTTGAGTAATATTTCTGGCTAAAATATTGACTTAATCGTTTTTTTTGTTAACCATAACTACTGCACTGGCTAATAACAAATCTCCATATTGTAAAAAAAAAAATTTGTGTAAATATAAAAACAATTCCCAGAATTATAGATTAAAAAAATATATTTCCAATTATTGTTTTTAAAATAATTTATATATTTTTTTAAAAAAATTTGATTCAACGCCATCATGGGGAAAGCAATTTATTCAAAATCGAAGATAATGAGTTACTTACGACTAACAACCCACTAATCGTAAAGTGATTCGTTTTAAAATGGAACGCGTACCTTTCTTAATGTCACATTTACAGCATATTATTAATTAATTAGAATTTAGATAACAAACTGTCATCCAGGTGGCATAGAAGTTAAATTTTATATAATTTGGGTTTTAAATATATTGCTACGTCTTCTTAGGCAATAAAAAATGGCTTATAAAAACAATGTGTTTTTAATCAGTGCGCGTAAAAAATATGCGAATACTTGCTAGGACATTCATGTCTGTTTAAATTGTTTAAAGCAGGGTTCTAGCGAATTTGGGTTCAGGAATTTTAAACTCTTAGCGGGAATTGGTTACATGAACTTAATCGAAACCCGATTTTCTAAAAGAGGTCGAACCCACCCCAGTCTATATTACGACGGGTTCGATGGGTTGCCAATAAATCAGTCTCTGTTTAGTCTGTGGAGTCAAAATGCTAACCAAACAATTTTAATTTCTGAACTCGAATTCGGATATTCTGGTTTACAGACACATTTTTAATAGTTATCGAAAACAGGCTATTATTACTGACTTTCGTCAAAAAAATATAACTAAATATCTTTAAAATATATATAATATTTTAACATTGTGATGAAAATGCCATCTAACTATTTCATAAATGGCAAATTCCTAATAAATACCGTTTTTTTTAAAAAACAATATTAACTCCCATGTTATATAATTAATGTTGATTTAACCAAGAAAGATACTTTCCCATATTAACATAATATAATTATTAAATATCTATTCTATTACTCATGAATAAAAACATGCGTGCATGCAGTGCAATATTATCTCTTATTTTCAAAATCAAAGATTTTATATTTACTATAATAGGATGAGAAAAATTAAATTTAAAAAAATAAGCAATTTTTTTATATATCAGTTAAGATAATTATAATTATATAAAATTACAATATAATTTTAAAATATTTTTAAGCAAATTTTTAAAAAACTTAATTTCTTGATTACAAATGGAAGGATATGATTCAAAATAGAATTTCAAATGGTTTGTAGGGAATAACCAGGTGTGTAAATAGTCTAAAAAAAGAAATAGAAAATTTTAACTGATGGAATATGAATAAGCATAAAATTGAATTACAATATACATTTTTTAGTACCTTAACGCATAATATTACGGCATCTTTTGTAATTAAAATTAAAAATTTATACTAGTGGTCTGCAAAAGTAGGTTTTAACTGGAAAGTCAGCTAGCCCAATTTAAAAAAATTTGAACCCTCTAGCCCGCCTAAGATTATTAAAAAATTAACCGCCTGTTCATTTTTTAATATAATTAATTGGTTTAGCTCTTGATTTATTTTCTTTTAATGTAATATTTTGTAAAAAAAAATATTTTTTAATAATTGTAAGCTCCTTTCTGTTCATTTCGCCAGAAAAAATATTTTAAATTCATCTGTATAACCCATTGTTGCAAAAATAATTTTAACCAACCACCAAATATTTAATATTTTTTAACCCACCCGCCCATTGCTGATATTTAATTTATTGGGGTCTAATAAATCAGTATAACAACTAGCAATGAAATATCCTTTAAAAAAATATACAATGTTCTCATATCTTTAATATTTTTCTCAGCATTACATAATATATGATTGGAATTTGGATATATATCAGAAACTTGCAGGCCAGGTCCTATGCCCGGCCGGGGACCGTATTTTTTTTATAAATATACCCGGGGGAAGGGGGGCTTTTAATACTCAGACAAGGCCGAATATTTTAAATCGCCATTATTACCTATAAAAAATATATTTTAAAATTGTGTATCATAGAAACAATATATCATCATTCA